TAAAAAACAAAAATAACATAAATCTATGTATTTTAACATAGTACATCTAAACTATTCCAGAAGTTAGATATTATCTTAGTAATTAATACCATGCAATATTTGGCTCTGCCCAGTTTTCTTAAATGCATGATAAAGTGTGTAAATATATGTATATATACACATGCATGTATAAATATATGCATATGGGAATGCATCTACATTTTATAATAAAAATGTATATAAACTTGTACTTTTCCTGAAGCTTACTGACCTTAGGAAGACTAAATATGAATAGCCAGGGGTAAAAAGCTAAAAAATTTCAGTCACTAATATATTGTGAGAGAGAAAGAGAGAGAGAGAAAGCACTTAAACTGAACATTTGATTATTGAAGGCCATTCTCATAAGCAAAATATTTTCCCTCAATTACAGCTAATTATTTAATTGTTTACATTTGCTAATGAAATGAAACAACACAAAACAAACAACTGTAAGGGGCTGTTTTTCAGCAAGTGCATAATCATCAATCACAACGTACAGAAAGATTCCTAAAATTATATGAAGCTGGTCTGTTTAAATAGAAAGGCATATTTTATCCCAATCAATGCATAAAAGTAAAATTATCCATAACTGAGGCATGTTTCTCTGCTGTACAGTTCAGCTGTAATGATCCCCACACACTGCACTTGCACATCAATTATGATAATCATAATCACGGTCGTTAAGCTGAATGTTCATTATTATCAGGATGCTGGTGACAGCAGATTCAATCACCGGGTGCAATGGGCAAGCAGTCACAGTCCCACCCAAGTTTCTGCAGACAACGATGTGCCACATTAAATCTGTGATGTGTTCCACATCCCACTCCATTCCCAAAGCCATAGACAGTAAAGGTCAACTTTATGTTCTGTGCAATATGCTTAGGTTCTCTAAATTAATTCTTTGGAGTGCTGGGTATTTTTATGCTTTGCAGCTTATAAAATCCTGTTTAGGACCAAAACGCATGTGAAAATAACGAAAAAGGGCTGCTCTACTGTTGTAATTCACCCGTAATAAGGCATAGGAAGAAAAGTTCTATCAACATGAACCATCTTGAAAGGGTCTCTTCCAGGATTTTGCAAACAGAAAAAACATGAAACGTTCCACTAAAATTAGTTGTCTAAAATGCATAGGGAAGCTCATTCCAATTCAGATAAAGGCCTTAGACTATCATTTCTGCTTCAGTAAATATGAACATATGTGAATGTTTTGACAACCCAAAGAATGTTTTTAGTACACTGAATTTTTTTTATTGTCCAACTCTTTTAGATGTACCCAAATACATTAATAGTGACTGACTGGTAGATTCTCCTTATTTAATTTCCCATCTATTTTAGATATTGAGCTCAGCACAATAAAGAATTTATAAATACAGGGAATTTATCTGAACTTAAACTGTTTAACCATTTAAGACACAGACTTAGAATCTAACAACTTCATTTGTGGAGTTTACAAACAGATCAAAGAAATACGAGTATATGCTAGGTGCATTATTTTATTATTGATTTCCACATTTTCAAAACATTATATATTTGTTATTGCTCAGTATTGATTTTCATACTTTTGGGGAAAATAGTATTATTTGTTCTCAATTTGCTGCCCCTGTGATTTCTTGGCATTGTGCTTTTCCAATCATTACAAATAAAACAGAATTAAATATTTTATATGTTAATTGATGTACCGTGAAAGTAATGAGAGGAAAAGTATCGAATCACATTGAATTTTCTGCCAACTGACACCTTTGAACACAATTGGTTAACAAATCCTTTGAAAACTGTTAACTCCGATGTTTAGGCTGATAGAAGAGAAAGGTAGTTCTCCACACAGGTGATCTTAAAACACGATGCAAAGGGGTGGAGAGCACAAGTCAAATAGTTTTTTGAGCTGGTTCTTGACTGAAATCAACGTACTGAATTCGGCTAAATCTCATATACATTTAAATGTGTGTAAATAATTCATCTTCGCAGAGAAGAACCCTAGGACCAGGTCATCTTTTTTTTTCTTCAACATTTTGAACCTGACACGTCTAGTGTCCCTAGGACTACCTTTATTTCATGAATAATGAATAAGTTGTGGCCTCTAATTTCTGAGATCTACAAAGACATTTTTTTTTTAAAAAGCCTGCTTTTAGCAACACATTGGATGCAAATCTCACCCAAATCACTTAATATCAAATAAAAACATAAAATATTTTTGATAATTCTGAGATTTTATGTATCACTACCAAGATGACTCTCTGTGTATTATGCAGATTACATTAGCCACATGGAAAGATATTTACTGAATCTGGTTATCTGAAGAAATAAGAAAAAAAGATGAGAAGAAATACGTAAAGGATGGAGGAACAGAGAAGAAAAAAAAGGAAAGAAAGGGGCGGCGCCTGTGGCTCAAAGGTGTAGGGTGCTGGCCCCATATACTGGAGGTTCAAACCCGGCCCTGGCCAAAAACTGCAAAAAAAAAAAAAAAAAAAAAAAAGGAAAGAAAGTAAGGAGGGAAGGCGGAATTTACACTTACCTTTAGTATTTTTCTTTCTTTTTTATTTATTTTGGATTAACATTAGAGTGAATATAATTAGGCTACATTGT